GCTAGTTCTTGCGGTGTCATAAGACTTGGATGTATCATTCCTTCTCTAGCGGCAGTTACTATTTGTCCTAATGTTTCTGTTTCGTAGGAATATTGATTTGTAATTACTGTATATAAATTATGTATTTCATTTTTCATTAGTAAATCTAATATATCGTTTGTTTTGTTTTGTATTTTTGACATTTTTTCGTATAGTTGATGGTCCTTTTCCGTAATATTATTGTATAATTGTTCGGTTTGATTTATTGTATTACCAATACTTCTTATTGTTGATTTTACTACAGTAGTTTGGGTTTCCATTATGTGCAATATGTTAGTTCCTGATTCTTCCGTTTTTTTTATAGCTTCTCGTGTTTTCTTAGTGCATTTATCATCACATACGCCAAATAATGTTTATTAATCCCCTTTTCTTTCTTCGTTTAACTTCCTGTATAGTACTTCCTAGTGTCATATACATACGTTCTTTCTGTTTAGTTATTTCATTATATAAATCTGTAATTACTATTTGATATTTCCCACACAGATCTTGGTGTTTCTGGTCAGTACATAAATTTGTTATATTTTTATATTTTCCCCCAATAGTTCATATTTCGTGTTATATTCTTTTAATGAGAAAAACATTACAAGACTGTATTGAGCCCCTTTTAATCTAACTGGCCCAAACTCTCATATTGTATTCCCCTGCCAACTCCATAAGGCTTTTATGAAAAGTGCTCTGATGTATTTATTTCGTCAGAGTTGACAGTATTGACTAGAAAACTCGTCACCATCACCAATCTAAAAGTACAAATTATAATTAAATTAAAACTAAACTATTTATATATATTTTTTCCTAGAAGTACCTATCATAATCTAATTTATGTTATTATTATTTATTATATTTATATATATATCTTTTAATTAAATGATCTCTAGATATTTTATGCGATATTTGCATATTTTTTTAGATCCAATATATAATCGTCGTAATTGTAACGTGGTTCAGATTTGGCCTTCGAGTTAATCGGTACATCCAATGTACCTAATGCGTATGGTTGAAAATTAGTAGAAGTATGTACTGTTGAATTATATACGAAGAATGCAAAGGGTAATAAATGATCCCAATTATTTAAATTCTTATCTACATAATGCCGTAAGTATTCGGCTAAAGTCCTATGAGCGCGTTCTATGGGGTAACCCTGCGGTCTGAATGAACTTGTGTTAACCTTTTCTATTTTTAATATTTTACAAACATTTGCAAACGTTTTCGAGAGGAAATTAGTTCCTTGATCCGTGAGTATTGTTTGACAGTGTAATCGGCAAAGGCCCTACTATATCCATAAATATTTTTTGAATGGTTTAGACGAAGTGGATGTAATAGCCATTGGATGTTTTATGTGCCGATTTGATACCTTATTAACCCGACATGACGCACAATTCTTCATATATTTTCTAACGTCTTCTTTCATACCCTTTCATAAGAATTGTTTCTTAATGCGCTTAATGGTTTTATTCACACCTAAATGTTCGATTAGTTTTGAATCGTGAAATTGTAATAAAATGATTGCTTTTTCTTCTGCATTATATTCTATATTTGCACATATAATTATTTCTATATCTGTTTTGCAAAATATGTATTGTAACATTGACCTTATTTTTACCATTCTAAATGATCGTGATCGCCTAGCTTGCTCGTGGCTAATTTATTCAGATTGTTTTCCTTACAAAATAGTTTTAGTTTGATCAAAGATATATACATGTTTTCGTAAGTGGCCTTCTGTCGATTTTTATTTTTCGTTACTAAGAATATTATAAACCTGTTTTCCTGTTTGAAATAGGGTGTGTCTCTTTTGTGAACTTTACTAGTTGGCAATATTGAACCGTTTCCGAATTGTTTTTTTTTTCAACTGATAATTTGTTCCTGTCCTAAAATTATATTGCTTGGCAATTTCTAATACTATATTATATTCTTTTGGTGGATCTATTAGTTTACCTATAGTTTCTTTTACATTAATATTTGTGATAATTTGTGTTCCTAACTTTTCGATATATTGTTCGAATGATTCGTGTTTATTTCCTGAATTGAATATATGCGTGTGAGAGTATCTACATTTGAATTTAGAACTCCGGGTTTGTGACGTATTTGTAATTGATTTGTGTTAGCGGCGAATGAATTATATGTTATATGATTATTTTCTAAGATTGAGAATATGTGAAACATTCGTCAGTCGGTTGTTCCGCGATAATCTGGTTTATCGTACGAGTACCACGCCTCTCGTTCGACACGTTTTCGTTTTCCGAATTATTAACGTTTCTACTCTCATCGTTTCTCTTTTTATAACACGAGTCGATATTATGACCAGTTCGATTACAGTATGAACACGTAACGACCTGTATATTATAATTCGTAGGTGGTTGCGTAAAATTATTCCTATCAGGTCTACGGTTGTTATTGCCATTGGTCGCATAACTAGGTCTCGTATTATTCCTACATTGAGATGCATAATGATTACCATTACAATTATAGCACTTTATTGCTGGCCTATTGATTGATTGAGAAAAATTGTTTGCTCGTGGATAATTATTTGTCCTTACAGGGTTATTTGGTCTAATGTTTTCGTTGTTCCTATTTTCGTAATTCGATCTGCGCTGATTATAATTTTGTGAATGAATATTCGAATAATGGTTCTTATTTTCCTGTTCTAATCTTAGTTCCACCTGTTCCGACATAGCAAGTTGTTTCGCGATTTCCAGAGTTTTTTGATTACGAGATTTTACTATTGTTCTAATCGGTTCTACTAATTCTTTAATAAATATCGCTAGAGTTTGTTCCCTTAATATTTCATGTACTCGTATAACTTTTACGGTACATAACTGATAATATAGTTTCTCTACTCTATGACAATAATCATTTGCATCCTCATTGTGATACATTCTAATTTAATTTAATTGGAGTTTAACGACGATGCCGTGGTTGTTACCTCAAATGCCTCTGTTAAATAAATTTTTATAAACTGCCATTTCGATACATTTTTGTATTTAATCATTTCTAATGCTCTACCTGTTAAACGTGTGGTAATATATTTTGCTAGTGTTGGTGCACTGTTTGTGTCGACTTAACTTACTGACATATCGCATGAATTTATGAATTGATAGATATCGTCTATTCCTGTGCTTAGTGGAATTAATTTAAAAGCGTCTTCTAATTTTAAGGTTACTGCCATTTTTTTAGTGCGTATTATAGGTAAAAATTCTAATGACTGATGTTCAAAACTATCTGTAACTATTGACGGTAGCCTTTGACGGGTTGTCTCCTTTGAAAGAAATCCTACATCGACTGCGCCAGTGTTACGTATGGCCATTCAGGGATCCAAAAGCTGTTGCACTTTTACAATAAAATGTAGTCAATTTAAATATAAATCAATTGTAATTTATTAAAACCAATAATAATTAATATAGTCGTGGTGAATTGCAGCGTCGTGAGTTGACTTGTTGTAGTAGTCGATAATCTCCATGTAAGTAGTGTGTAATGGCTGGTGCTTTAAGCTGCTCGCTCGGTCTTGGCGGCTCTGGTACATCTTATGTGTATTGGGGCCCTGGCCTCTATATATACGAATATACGAAGGCGACGCCCTTTGAATTGAGCGGCGCGTGGCATGTAGGCACCCTTGGGAAATTGTTGTGGTTTGAAGCGTCTATTCTAGCTATGACCACTTTTGGTGGCGGTCAACGAGGCCGCTTTCCACATAAGTGGTTCTTGTTATTATGAGCGTTGTACATGAATTGCGTAATCCCATTACAATATGTTAATACTTGAAAATTGAAATGTAGATCTTACTTATATTATTTGTGTTTGCTAAGTGATTATTTTTATGTCCATAATATACATTTTTGTTTTCTGGAATGATCCAAGTCTGGTGGACCTACTAACAATGTGGTATGTAAGTATTTTAATTTTTTGTTAACAAGTTAATAAGTTATTTATTAAAATATATCTGTTTTAGGTATTTAAAAAATCTAATTTCTTTATAAACAATACAACATTATAGATTATACATTAAGTATCGTTAATTTTTAATTTTATGAAATCATGTCAAATATTATAATTTATTTTGAATGATTCCAAGTAAGCAGTATTTTATTACACCCCTTAATTATTTTTTATGCTTTAGTTTTTTAATGTGCTAGTTAATTTGTTTTGTATAATTCACCTTAAATGTTCAACATTTTTGTAATTCAGCTTATCTTTATATTTTTTTTAATTTTAATTTTATATATATTTTATTTAATATTTATTAATTATAAATTATAATCCTTTTTAGAAACTACTACACTTAACAAAGATCAATCAAGTACTTAAATCCAATCATCTAGCACATCGTCATACACTAATGCAGATTTAAATACTTATGAATATGATCCTGCAAATGGTGAAAAACAAGCTTATGTTTGTTTATCAATGAAATTGGGTCCTTATCAACCAACAAATATTGTATTTCCTCGTACTTTAGGAAGAAGCTTTAGACAGGAATAGTATAAAATGTTTGATTGGTTAGAATATAGCGTCAAATTGGATTCAGCCTGTTGCTTTTTTTGTCGAGCTTTCCCTAAATTTGGAGCTTAAGGAGCATTTACAACTAGTGGATATAAAAAATGGGGAAAAGCTATTGAAAAATTTAATGTTCACCAAAAAAGTAACGCACATAAGGAAGCTCAAGCTAAAGTTTTGGGGTATAAGCAATCACTCATATCAAATTCTTGTAGCATTATTGAGTCGATTGATAAACATCATTCAACAGTTGTTACTGAAAACCGTGAATACTTAAAATGTATACTAGAAACTCTACTTTATTGTTCTAAACAAGGGATTGCTATAAGAGGTCATAATGAGGAGTCAGAATCTTTAAATAAAGGCAATTTTCTTGAGTTATTAACTCTTCGAGCAAAAGATAACAATATAATTAAACGTTTTTACATGGAAAAGAAAAAACATTTAATTATGTGTATCGCTCTTACTTAAATATGTTTCTGACTTATATTAGTGATTATATTCTGCAATCTATTACATCAGAAATTCAATCTGCTAAACTATTTAGCATTCTTATTGACGTAACCCAAGATTTGGGTCGACATGAACAAGTTTCTGTGTTTATAAGGTATACAATTAATTTAGAGCCTAAAGAAGTCTTTTTAGGCTTCCATCGAACCAAGTCAACTGATGGAGAATCACTTGTTGAATTACTTAGAGATATTTTGGAGTTTAGAGGACTCGAAATGGAAGATATCAGGGGACAGTGTTATGATGGTGCAACATCGATGCGAGGTGCCTACAAGGGCGTGCAAGCAAGAATAAAAGCAGAAAATAATTTAGCAATTTACCTACACTGTTATGCTCACGTTTTAAACTTATGTTTGGTAGATTTAGCCAAACAAGTACCATGTGTTAGAAATATGTTTGGTACTTTACAAAAACTCTACAGTTTTATTGGAGCTTCATCTAAGCGATATGCTATTTTTGAACAAATGTTAAGTTCTGATACCGGTCCTAAAACACTTAAATCTTTAAGTGATACTCGCTGGAATTTCCGTTGTGAAGCACTAACATTAAAATGCAATTTAACTGCTATAATTGATACCTTGGGTGAAATAGCAGAAAATGATGCTGAATCTGGGTCTGATGCTGCTGCTTTACTCAATTGTATTCAGTCATTTGAGTTTGTATTTGCTCTAATTCTAATGGAAGATGTATTAACCAAGACAAATGTTCTGTCCAAATACTTGCAATCTCCATCTTTGAACTATGGTTTGGTCATTAAAATGGTCAAAGAAACTATTATCAATTTTAAAGATTTAAGAACAGAAGACAATTTTCAAAAAGTATGGGAAAGAGTTGAAAATATTTCAAAAAGTAATGGTTTTCGTGAAGCTAAGCTACCTCGATTGAAGTCTGTGCCATTAAAATTAGGTGGTGGTACCAAACAGTCTGTACAAAATGTTCAAGATCATTATAAAATTAATGTGTATTACAGTATTTTAGATAGCATAGTAATGTGCATGAACAACAAGTTCAAAGAAAATGATTTATCACTTTTAAATTCTATGTCTGATGTATTATTTGATACAAACCCCTTAACTGAATCAATATATGAAGTTTGTAAGACTTATAAATTAGAATCTGAAGACTTTTCAAGTGAGATTAAAATACTCAATAGGCTATTTATGAACCAAGGCTGTGATTCAATTATAAAAAGAATAAATTATCTAAAATCAAAAGATATACAGATAGGATTCCCAATTTACACAGAAATTTTGAAAATTTTTTTAACTATACCAACCAATACTGCTTCTTGTGAGCGTAGTTTCTCTGCTCTACGTCGACTGAAAACATATTTAAGAGTCACTATGACTCAAGAACGTTTAAGTAATTTGCCAGTGTTATACATACATAACGAATATAAAATTGATTTTGAAAAAATTATTGATAGGTTTGATGTAGAAGCTTCAATAAAGGGTCGGTCGACGTTTAGCACTCAAGTAAATAGTTTTGAATTTGAATATTGTTTTATAATTTGCTGTTAAGTAATTCTTTACGAAATATATGGATATAAGTTAATGTAAAATGTGAATTATTATTCAAATAATCAAATATTCATACCCCAAAATACAATAGTTATTAGTTTGAAATATCTCCTAATATTTTTGATTATATTTTGAGATAATTATACTTTATTTTAGTAAATTTAGTCAAAAAAACTTTTTTACTGAAGTCAAAATTGGTAAGAATGCACTCCAATAAAAAATTAAATCAAGGTTGAAAATTTATTTTGGGAAAATTGGGTTATGAAAGTCCATTTTTCTGAGTTATTGTAATTAATTTTTTGCCCCCCCCCCTCCTAGAATCATTACCAAGTGCCGCCTATGATTATACGTATATATTATTACTTATAAAAAAAACAACATGCACATATAATTATTCATAAAATAAATTGCGTAAACGAGAGTTGTACGTCGAAAATGGATGAGTACCTATGTAATAACACGTAAAACGTTCAATCGCCTATGCTACGCGTGTTAAATTTCGATACGGTTTATCTCCTCACCCGTTCCGCTCGAAAAGTTCCGCGATGTTTCATGCGTACGCGCTTGTACTACGCTCGAATATTATAAAAACATTACTCCGTAAATCCCTCTAATAATATTCGACTTCCTATCCCTTATTTTTCTTATTACTAATTTATTTCTTTTATTTTCTAATTTACGCGCTTTAACCATTTAATTTAAACCACAAAAAATTAATAGAATAATTAATAAAAAGTTATTTTAGTTTTAACTTATTCGTAGTAATATTATACTAAATCTTATCCTAGGGCCCCTATAATTAATTATTTTTTCAAAAACTTTTAAAAATTTGACGTCAATTACTTTTATTCCATAAGGTCATCTACTACCTTTTAATTCAAAATCTATCAATTAATTTCTTTCAACAATTATTTATCATTCTTTATTTCAATTCAAAAATTCAATATTTCACTTTAATCAATATTTACATATATATATATATATATATATTCAAAAATGCTACGCGCGTGCATCACTTTCCTAGATCTGTTGACGTGGTGTAGCCGCTGCGTCGGAACTGGACCTCCGAAGTTGAATGTCGCCGCCTTGATTGCTGGACTCGCCTTTGGAAGTTGAAATCCGCCGCTTTGACTGCTTGCCTCGTCTTAACTCCTTGAACCTTCCTTTTTTTGACTGCGCCAGTGTAATGTGCTGGGTAGCCTGGTGCCTAATATTGTAGTATAAATAATAGACAAGTGGCTACTAGAACATTAACGTTGCATTTAGCAGACACTTCTTTTGATGATGTCGTCGTGGTAGATGATTAAATAAGATAAACAGTTGTTGTATATTTGTGAATTTATTATTAACACTTCAATAATTTTGCTAAGTCCAAATAATGGCATACAGAGCGGCGTGAAGGTGATTGCTCTAGTGGGTGTTAGTACACGTCTGAATACAGGCCTATTCGGGCTCCCTTATATATGAAGTTCCCCATGCCCCTCGCCTATAGATACTGTATCAAGGCTCTCACGGATGTGATTTGTGTGGTCATTATTCCAGCCCACGCATTACGATTGAATGTATTACTAAATTAAGACTATTATTATAATAATCATTTTACTCTTTTATATTTGGAATTCATCGAGTGTGTTTAGTGGTCATGTAAAATATTACAACTACCTATTTTTGAACCCTAATGTCCTTAATCCTTAATGTCTTTTTAGTCGCTGTGGCTATAATATAATTCGTAATTTTAATTAGGTACCTAATTGTTGTAAACTAGGTATAGTTTGTAAAAACTAAATAGTAAAAATTTAAAAAATAGATTAAAATCCATTTTATCAAATTGTAATAGGATTACGTCATTTCATGTACTTGATCATAAAAACAAGCAGGAATGTGAAAGGCAAGCAATGACCACACCCAAAGTGTTTACGACTAGAATACCACTCTTATTCGTGAGGTCCATATCATATCAAGGGCGACTGTACACACGCCGCTCGCTTTCAAAGGACACCGCCACCATAAATATAGGGGACAGCGAGACAGCCTGAGCAGATTGTATCCAGAGACGTAAACAACGTACGACTCGCTTAGCCGCCAGCCATCACACACAAATACACGAAGATTATCATTCTAGAACGAGCTGCAATTCACTCAACTACACAATTATCACGACTGTTCTGCTTATTTTATTTGGTTTCAATAAAATACATTTGATTACTATTTTAATTTGACTATTGTTTATTATAAAAGTATATCAGCTTTTGGATCCCTGAAGGGCTGTACGTAACGTTGGCGTAGTCAAGGTAGGATTCCACAAAGGAGGCAACCGTCAAAGGCTACTGTCAACGACGAAGAATTTATCACTCTTCTGAGAAGACAACTCCAGGAGGAACCATCAAAAAACAAATAAGTCACGTTGCAGTACCAACAAATCCATCAGCATCATCATCAACATCGGCAACATGTCATCGTCAGCCATGAACACAGCATTATTGTGAGTGAATAATTATTTAAATTTGTTACATAGACGTATGTAACATAATTAAGACATATTAAGATAAATCTAAGTAATTGATTATAAGTATAATGATGTAAAACGTTTTAAATTTTATTGAGGGCATATTTTATTGATTATTGAAGTTTTATTATTGAGGGCATGTTTTTATTGAAGTTATTATTGATTATTATTGAAGTTAATTGATTTATTGAGGGCATTTTTATTATTGAAGTATTATTGAAGTTTATTGAATTTATTAGAGGGCATGTTATTGAAGTTATTATTGCATTTATAGGGCATTGATGAATTGTTATTGAGTATTATTATGATTATTAACGTATTAAATAGGTATCTAAGTTAATTTATGGACAGCGAAGATACATCTCCCTTGAACATAGCTAATTCATTGTATGACACAAGTGTAGTAGAAGAAGCCCAGTTAGCAGCCCAGTTATTAGCCCAGGGAGTAGCCCAAGCCCAGTTTGAAGCCCAACAGAAAGCCCAGTTGACGCGGTCCCGCGCAAAATCTGTTTGAATTCAAACAGCCTTTGCGCGGAAGCCGCGCCGCGGCTTCTCAATCAAACCGCCAACCGACGACGGACGACGCCGGCGCGCGACACGCGCGCCTGGAACCGTCGGCCGGCCGTCCAGCGAACCGGATCGCCAAGGCGCGCGCTCTCGTCTTCACGACACCGACCGGTACAGACCTTTTTCGTAGACGACACGTCCCGAAAACAAATTGAAACCGTCGAAAACGCAATACCATATGTCCATATTGTATGTTCGTTAATTCAGTATTTTACAATAAAGTAACAAATCGCACCAGTGCGCCCGTTGGTTGTTTCTTTAGTTCGTTTGTTGTTTTTTTTTTGTTCCGTTAGTTTAAGTTTGAACCGACGAGGTCACCACCACCTCATCACTATCCACGCGGCACTATTTAAGTCCGCATCAACTGGCTCCCCGAACAGGAATCACCGGTAAGTGAAAACTTTCTTACCACATACTACCACCCCCAAATAAACCCCCGTTGCGCGTTTTGGAAAAAAGTCACCAACGCGATCCGGCAAAAACGTGGTTTGCAGGCGGTAACGGAAAAACCGGCGTTACGTAATATATTACATAACCATAAAGGACGTAACGACCGGCCGCGCCGCCCGACTCACGGACGCACCGACCGCACCGCGCGCGACGCACCAAACACACACGACGTAGGTAGGCATTAGGTAGGAACGCAAGAGCGCGAGAGGGTCACACCACCACCGCCTAGCACCACCACCCGCCAACGTCAACACGCGATTACCCGGGACAAAAATACCACGTAATCGGACTGCCGCCGCCGCCGCTTAAAGCGACAGCCGCCGCCTTCCCTAATCGCAGTAGTGCACCGGATAACGCACACACGCGCATCCGCGAAAACACTCTGCGAAGACCGGTTACTGTGATCGCCCGGCAAGCGCAACAATAACAATAACAACCCACTGACCTACATTCCGTACGCAAATAAACACCGATAAGCGGGCAACACAGCTGATCGAAGGAACGCGATACCCGTTCCAACGACAACAGCCACATTTTATAATTTCTCGTCAACAACACCGGAAAACCAACCGGAAGTCATGCCGGGAAAATATATTAATGAATTGACCGCCGCGGAATTGCGCTACGAATGCGGCCAGCGCGGTTTATCGGATACGGGCGCGAAGGGTGATCTCGAAATCCGATTAACACAACATTTCGCGGACATGAACCTGCAGGCCAACGAAATCCGGTTCCCGCCTATGGAACCCACTGGGCACACCGGACAGAGCTCGGCCACAGGTCTGGTACCCGACGCCAGTCAAACCGCGCAAATACAGATCGAGACAACACACGCCCCACCCCAGATCACCACCAACAGCACAACACCCCAACCATCAACCACACCCACACACCAACAAACTATGGGTATGATCCAAACGGGTCGTACCATAATAAAGGAGGTACGGCAAGCGGTGGAGAACTCGGCGCATGGCTGCGGTCTGGAATCGCGACTGACCATGCTCGAGAACTGTATGGCCCGCTTTGGCGAAGACCAACGTCGCATTGCAGAGACAATGCGACGCCTAGAGATGGGTATGGCACGCCAAGCACCGGAACAACAACCGGAGGCAACCCCACCGATCCGCCCACACCACACAGTGTTATCGAACAACACGGAATACGGAGCGAGGTACCCCGCGGCACGAGAACCGCCGTCCGCGGGTAACCACCGCGCCGATCATTCAGTACGTTTCGACGACACAACAAATAAACACCATGCCCCCTCCTCCACATACACCTACGCGGCACAACAATCGACGCTGATACCATACGACGACGTATGTGCAGCGAGACATTCGCTGCCGGAGTACCACGGGACAACACCTGAGGACCCGGCAAGATTTATCCATAAAGCGGAGTCGATAATGTACCAAACGCGTATAGATAGGTCGGCCTGGACAAATATTATCGCACAGCAGCTAAAGGGTGCAGCCAG